AAACGTCTAACAATCTGACCAAATTATTTTTGTTGTTTACCTGCAGTTTTCAACTTGTAAGTTTAGTCACACAGTTGTTTTGGTAATTGAAGTAGAAGAAGCAGGAACTCTTTGTTCTGCATGTTTCATTCGTTTCTCTTCAGCATGCAAGGATGTAACATGAACAAAAAGTCTGGCAATAATCTCATTTAAATTAGAGGAAAACTTAAATGTGGAAAATCAAATGTAAACTCTGGACAATCTTGAGCCAGGCCCCGTGTTTTGCCTGATCCTGTCTTTATGTGATATTCTGACATGCTGCTCCACATAGAAAACTGATCCTGACGAGTTCACCAGAACAACTCTGTACTCTGTGTCCAGCCCAGTTCTGAGCGACCACTTCTCTTCACAGGGTATGTCTCTAACCTGTGAACTCGCCTCTATTCTCAAGGGCGAGGCAGTCCGGAGGCGATCAGCTTGTGGGACACTGATGGTTTTCAAGTGGTGACAGAGGAGTCCTGCTTCTCGTCTTCATAAATCGTCCTCCATAAAGCTTAGCCTCAAATCTTCAGCAAGGAGCATTTTTGCTTACAGCTCATAGGAAATGAAAGTCATAGCATTCTTTGATCGAATGTTTATCGCCTGCCACCTTTCATGCCAGAGTTTTAGACTAATATTAAAAAATGTTTTTGCTTTGCTCTCACCTATATTACCAATAACAACTAATATTATGGAAAGTGTTGGGGTGTGGAACAGGATTAAAATCCACAGTTTATAAATTTATTCTTCCTTGTTTAAATCTTCAGACACCTAAACGTCACTTGTACAAAACGGTTTTACAATTTTTGGATTAATTGTAGCTCAAAGAGAATATTAAAGTAATATTTGTCACACAGGAGACGCTGAGTGTTTGGATCTCAGAGCTTCAGGAGAGATCGGAGAACAACGAGGACTTGGTGTCTGAGCTGGAGCTGGCCTACAATTCTGTAGAGGTACCATGATTTGTAGTCACCGTTGTGGACACGTTGGACAAAGTGTGGATATTGCATAACATCTCCTCTTCCTCAGGAGCAGTTTGTGGATCGAGAGGCAGCCATGCGGGTGCAGAATGAGGAGATGATGGCTCTGGTGATGGAGCAGTACAACCAAATGTCTGTCACCATGGAGGAGGAGAAGAAAGCCAAGCTGGAGCAACTCTACGACAAGATTGTTTCCTTCCAGGAGAACATAGACTCAGCCAAGTCCACCCTGGAGACCACGAGCAGAGAGGCTGAGACTGATGCGAGGGTGAGTCCTGAAGACTGATTGATCATTGAGAGTAAAGGTTTGGTCAAATATTTAACAAAAACCTTTTTCTTCTGTTCTCCGTCTAGTCACCTGAAGATATTTGTGCAAGGTCTGCAGACTCTGTTTAAATCCAAACAGCATGCTGATTGACCCAACGAGCTAAAATAAACACTAGTCTAATTGGTATTGAACTGTGTAGATTGATCACCGACTGCTGAATGTGTGTTTGTATGGTCAGACTGCAAGCAGCTCTGGACTCAGCCTCGTCACTGGAGCTGGGTCCCAAGGGACTGCTGGTGTTTGAGGACTACACCAAGACCAACGCCTCCAGCTCCAACCTCGCACAGCGCAAAGGAATCCCAGGTAGCTCCTCTTTGAACTTCCTGTGCAGATTAATCCTCCGAACGTCTCACGTTAATGTGACACGGTTTCAAATCTTGTTTGTGTGCTTTAGTGCCTCAGAGGCCCACGCTGCAACCCCAGGAACCGGGCTCTGCCACCAGCACCAGCGTCACGGTCTACTGGAAAGTCAACCCAGGAGACATCATAGACTGCTTTCAGGTCTACTGCATGGAGGATCCACAAGGAGGTCAAACACTGTCCATGCTATGCTTTACCCTGTCCACCAGATTTAAAGTTGATGTTGAAGTTGAAGTTGATACGATAATACATTGTACTATATGTGATGTTCTGACAATAGTAGTCCCTAGTAGTAATAGTAGTTCTGATAGTAGTCCCTCGCTACTTCGCGGTTTGACATTAGCGGACTCACTGTTTCATGGATTTTCAATGTAAAATTGTACACAACACTCGAATGGCTGATTGATGGAAACCAATCAACCAGCACATTGTGTTGAGGGGTGGACTGGCCACTGAGAGCACCGGAACATATCCCGGTGGCCTGGCCCACTCAGTGATCGTCGAGGGGCTGGACAAAAGGCTCAGTTCAGGTCGCGTTTGATTATTTAAAATAAACAACTCAGGTATCGCCTCACTGAAGCTCCCTGAGCAGTAGCAACGGGGAAAGACAGACCCCCACCGCCGCCCCCTCCTTTCTTTTTCTGAGGCTGTCTCTCTGCTGTGACAAACAGCCTCAGAAAGAAAAAGGAGGGGGCGGTGGTGGGGGTCTGTCTTTCCCCGTTGCTACTGCTCAGGGAGCTTCAGTGAGGCGGATATAGCGGTATGCTTTTTTTTAATTCATTCAGCCTTTATTTAGACAGATAAATCACATTGAGCCTTTAAAATTATTATTTAAAATAATAAAGCGCGACCCAAACCGAGCCTTTGGTCCAGCCCAAGGTGGGCCAGGCCACCGGGAAATGTCCTGGTGCTCCCGATGTCCAGCCCACCCCGGCTGATTGGCTCAGTACCCGTAGCATCAGTCTGTCTGCGCTCTTTCACGGTGCTCTTTTAGAGCATTTAGAGAGTTTAGAACATTGAGTGTGGGAACGGTTGATAAAGCCTTTATATATATATATATATATATATATATATATA